AAACAGTTTGATGATCTAGTTTTTATCTCTTATTTCATTAAGGGATAATAAAATCTTGATAAAGTGGGTCATAGAATTGGAATCCGGATTTTTAAAACATTCTCGGATTTCTACCAGACAGAACGGGTAATGATAAGAACAAGGGGGGTTTAAATTTCTTAAACAGTGATGATGTTCTGGTTCTACCAGGACACTTTCATATAATCTGAATTATGTTTTCGTTTCTCATACACTGATGCTGGTAACCACTTAATTTAACTTTTGAATTATTATGTTCACGGTTTATCACTGATAATGTTCTGGTTTTATTATGACACTTTTATTTATTTATTTTAGGTTCTCGATTAAACTGCTTATACACTGATGCCGTTTCTATATCTATCAAGACACATTCAATAAACCTTTGAATTATCATGTTCTCGGTTTTGGGATAAGTCGTCCATTTGAACAGCCTACCACATGCGTGCCATATGGCTGATAATGCAAAGGATTGTCACCCATGTCCGTCCGTCCACAATTGCTCGTAAACACTCTACAAGGCTCAATTCTTGACTGATGTCGACGAAACTTGGTATGGTTGTTTGTAATCACCCAAGGATGAACCGTATTTAAAATCAGAAATAATTAGTATTATTTATTACCCTTGTTGTTGAAAATGCGTTCAATTTGAAGCACGTGAAGACTTTAGAAGGCACAATTCTTGATGGATTTTGACGAGTCTAGGTGTGAGTTTATGTAATCTCCCAAAAATGAACCTTAACGAAAATCAATCAGAAAAATCTAAAAATATTATTGTCCTTGTTCTTAAAAAGTTCAAGTTTAAGCCTGTAAACCTGATTTTGATGAAGGTAATATTATTCAGTATCGCCTCAAAATGTTCAAAAGAAGTGTATGTCTGATTGAATATTTCATACTGGTAATTGTTACTGTACTGCCAAATAGTTTTATTCCAAACAAAGTTGTAAGTGGGCGTATATTCCCTTGCCTTGCAGGCTATCTTTCCATCTTCAGTTCATCAAAGACGGAAATCAAATTCCTCATTCTCAATCTCCGCGAAGTCAAACAATCTTTAAGTAAAGCAGTAAAGTAAATGCCTCAGAAGGTGATAAAATAATAATTGTCTAAGACGACCAGGACACAGTATTAAGAAATTTGTCTCGTTTTCAGACTAAAACAGTATTTTTCTACAAAGGCTTGAAACCGATGTCAGTTATATCACGCAATGTGAAACCATACCGGTGAAATATACTCGGAGTTTCCTGTATTCAGTCTGTGGTAGCTTTGGTAAACTTTTTATATTTCCAGATAGAAAACTTAACATAATAATGAAGTCACACTTGACCTTCTTAGCTAATGTTCTTTATCATATTACTAGTAACTTAATGATATAGTCACGTTTTTGGAAGTACAGAAACCACAAACGTCTCTTGTACATACACAAAATGAAATTGATAGAGTTTCAGGTCGTACTTTTCTGCACTATATGGGCTAATGAAGACTTACAACGCTGTGTATTGTACAATGAAAATTTTTTCCAGAACAGCGGCATCTTTTTCGATTTTCAACCATCGACGGATCGCAACGACTAGACGCTTTTCCCACGCCAGCCCTTCCTACAGACATCACCGAAAAACGAAATTCGGGTTGTCAATCCGAACGCATTATCTAGACCTATGCCGGGATCGAAGCCTGAACCTCCAGGTTAAACGTTCAAATAAAGGGCTTAAGGAGATAGATCAATTGGTGAATAGTCAAGAACCACTCCCTTTCTCCTTCAAAATCTTAATGATAAATAACGAGTTGTCCGTCTGAAAAATCAATGTTTGAGATGAGACGAAGATAGAAAGAAAGTCTTCCGACTATGAAAACAATCCTCTATAAACGTAATTTAGGCTAGTCGACTGAAGAGCTGACTGAAGCCCGTCTTGTAAGGAAATGAAGGCGTATAAATCTATATTTGGAATACGAATTGGTACAGTTCGATTAATTCATACGAGTGATTAAGATTATTTATGTCTTCCTTTAATTGTGGGTCAAGATCCTACTCGAAGCACGCGTTGAGATTGATTATTAAGCCGATTTTATGTTTGATTCTGTATTAAGATTTTTTTTTAACTCTGAGACATCGAAACTAAAACGTATGTGTATTATCTGTTTGATAATGGTTTGAATGAACATAATGATATCTACTTTAAGGCAAACGACTCGTCTTGTGGATATATCAAATTTATATATGTAAGGTAAGAAATCAGAGTAGGTCAATGTTAAATGAACTTGAAGGCAATTACCAGAAGCAGCAGAAAGTGAAATTAGTTTATTGACCACACAACATGTAACCACCAGTGTCTGTTTAGTTTTAGCAGTATTCCACATATGACGTTTCGTTGCCTTTCAGTAAAATTCTGTGATTATACATGTATTAGAAAGTCAGCATTGTTCTGGAATTATGTATTGTGATTTGGCGTGAAGGACAATTCAAATTGTGTGAATCGTGACATAGTGGCTTCTTAATACGATTACGAGTTTTCAAATCATTTGTCAGAAATATGTGTCTTATTATTGATAAGTTTTATTTTTAAACAACTGTATACGATGAATATCAGGGAAACTGACTTTCAAGCCAGAGAATGGACAGTGTGAGGTACATAATCCACGGGGAGAAATTTTGGTGAAACTTTATGTACCTGGGATGTCGCCGTTAAGCTGTACAAAATATATGTACAGGTATATGTAATAATGTAATTTTATTCTTTCAAATTTGAAATGCTTGTAAGTCGGGTTATTTGAGGTTAAAAATATCTAAAAACCTTAACTAATGGACAGGTTTTAAATAGAATGTACAATTGGTGAACAGTTTTAATGGACAGTTACTGAATAGTTTTAGAAAGTAAATGAACATTTTTCCTTTTTAACGTAGAGGATAGTTGTTAATCAGTTTGTAGGAAATAATATACTGTTAGTGGACAATATTTGAAAATAATGTACAGTTTGTGAACAATATTTTGAAAAATATATATTGTTAGTGAACAATATTTTGAAAATAATGTAGTCAGTGAACAGTTTTAAGGAAATAATTGGCAGTTTGTGGACACTCTTCGGAAAATAATGGACAGTTAGTGAAGAGTTTTGTTTTAGAAAATAATGGACAGTTAGTGAACAGTTTTAGGGAAATAATGGACAGTTAGTTAACAGTTTTATGAAACAAGGTTCAAAACTCCAAATAGGTTACACAATAATACGTTATCCTGCAAAGTTAAGTCAATTCAATACTCATTAATACCCAATCCAGGTTAATTTAAGTCTGTTGAGCATGAAATGTGATTTGTTATCGCTATTTATAGAGTATACAATTATTCGATTTCCTTTCGACGTCGTGTAAATACCTTAATGATGTATATTATCTCTAGCCCGCTTATTAATCAATTATACATTAAGTACACAATACTTGAATAACCCAAGGCATGTTATATCATTAAATATGTATAACATTCTACTGACTCGAACGTTCTACTTTGTTTGTGCTTTAATTGACTATTATTCATTCATACTGCGCTTTGATGAACCAAAGACATAGCACACTTACTTCTTAGCATTTTTTCGCTGATGATAGCTTCTCGATATGTCATAAGATCATAAAAGTTTACTTCCTGTGATATAACGTTCTTGTACTTCGAAACAGTCAGTGTTCTGAATCAAAAAGAATTCTGCTTGCCTTCTGGTGGGGAAAAACCGGATGGACACTATTACTATTTGTCTCATGATGTATTAGCCAAATATCGGTCGTAGGCGTATATGGATTGGGTCTGGAACCGTAACATTTAATTAAGACTACATCATTTTGTATGCTTGATGAACAGCACGAAATAAAATTAGATAGCACAGATTGTGCTTTTTCCCACATCATCGTTATAAATTCAATTGTTGTAGCTTGAAGTGTTGGGAATGTGACAGGTGATCTGCATCAAATGGAGAAATTTAACAAATGGAAATGAAATGAAATGCATTAAGGAGCGTTAGCACAAAATGGGCGATATAGTTTTAAAAAGAATATTGATGTGTCAAGTTTAATTCTTAACATACTCAAAACTTAAAGTGTTGGAGTGCATCTTGAAGTGACAGTTATTTCCTTCCCTCGGTCTAATTCCACGACATTGATAAATATAATACATTAGATTATGAAGGAAATGGAATGTAATTCTCTTTTCAAGTTAATATTTTCTCAAATTTTAGCTAATTGAGAAAACTTCCTCGACATAAAGTGTCAGTTAGTAGTGTATTTAATTCTAATATATCGTTGAAGATATCGCCTGTATTATAGAAGTCGATATAGAGCGTAGGCAAACAATTTGTCATTGATAAACATTTTAAAAATAATCAATATCATTGACAGAAATAACTGTTTGCTGTCCTCTCTTTTTACAATGCCATAAGGTGTCGTTAACTCTTGAAGATATTGCCTTGGTTTTCATAGAATTGTTAGAACGTAAGCAAACAATTTGCCATTGATATACGTGATTGTTTGCTGTTCACTTATTTCTAAAATGCCAGTGTTTTTTTTTGGTTGGTTGTTTAATTAAATAAATATTGACAAAAATATCTTACAAATGACTAAATTTGTTATTGAACAAGTGCAAAAAAGTCGACAAAAAGGAAAATATGGACCACACAAACAGTCCAGAAGACACCTACAGAATATGGATTCACTAAATTATCACGAGTACCATGATGGAAAATCGGGAAAAATTACATACATTGCATTGATCGCCCCGATTCGAACAACAATTTTCATCTTAGTGATAAACTACTAAATCATAGTGTTTAAGAAAGAACCATTTAATCATTCCTATTTATTATACTCATATTAGAATTTTTAAATATTTTAAATTTGTTATAATTTCAGATGTTCGAAACACCAAAATGTCTCTGGTAATCAAAGAGTGTGGATCGTCTGACTAAGTGATAGTATATTCATGAATTTCTAAAAACCGTCTGTTATCAAAATGAATAATGAAAATTATCGCAGCAATCTTCTTTCCGTGGACAACCTACAGAGACCTCGAGCAAACTCGGATCCTGGTATTTTTACGTTACCAGAAATAATAGTCCAAGACTGTTCATCTGGAGATGCCGTGACCAAGAAACTGTCCGAAATAGAGGATGATGATTACTTTTCTTTTAATGCGTGTATGAGACCAAGATCTAATACATGTCCAGAAGATCTATTCCACCAACGCCCAGAGAGGCCCGGAACACCTCCTCCAATACTGGAAAAGAGACATCAGCGGCACGGTCGTTTCAATTTCGTGTCGCCTTCTAAGACCTGTGTGTCATTTGCCCATCATAACCTTTCTAACATATCTGAAGATGAGGGTCCAGAAACTGTTATCAAATATTCCGCTAAACGTCAGCTCAAGTCTGGAGTTACAGAGCAGATGGAAAACAAATTCAACAAAGAGTTTGAAATAAAGCTAAATTTAAAAGGAACTAGACAAGAATTAAATTTCGAGAATTCGTGATGTACAGCGAATGGAGGCTTTTAGCTTGATTGGGGATTATGCGAGTGTATTTGTTGAGGAATTTCTTAAATTCTTGAAATGTGATCGTTTTGAAAGAAATCAAATGCTTGATTTATAAAAATAGAACAGTCTGTGGCTCATGTGTACAGTTTTAGAGACAGTCTAGAAGAACTATATTTGGAAACTCTGCGAATGTGATGGTATTAAATGAATAATTCCATGTTTAAGTAAATGAAATCCCAGTTGTGTTACCTTGACAGGACAATTTCACAGAGCCTTAGTAAAGACATTCAACATTGACTAGAAACTAGGTGATCTAATTTGTGAACCAATGTATCTTTGCCTACGAGAAATAATTTCTGTGGGACGTTTATTTATTTTTTTTTTTTTTGCATATTGTCGACATCTATTTTAGTTGACGTAGGTCAGACAAGAGGATTATATACAGATTATAATGAAGGCCATCATTCGTTAACAGATTCACAATAGAGAGGATTTCCTACAGTGTCCAACTCTTAACGCTGATTTGTTATAAAAAGGTTCTAATGATATTGCTTGGAGGGAATTATAGTTATAGCCCTTGGGTGTTTGGTCATGTTTTTAAATATGGTTTAATGATAATTCAGAATCATTTGCGTTGGCTAGCTCTGAAGCTACTACGTCATGTCGGTAGAGGAAATAGTCCCAATCGTATTCAACATTACGTAATATGGATACCATTACCCCCAAGGCGTGAATCATTTTGTATTGGTATAGTAAGATTACACATGTATATAAGAAATTTTGATATCACAGACAAAACTTAAGATACAAAACGCTCATCCTGTGCTAATTCTCTTGAAAATAAACGCTACCATCACTGTTTCGTGCCCTCTCATTCAACTACCACCACCCCATTCTTTTACCTGGACGAGGTCATAATTATAACAGACAGACTGAAAAGAAGTTCATTCGTAGAAAAGTAGCGTACCTTTAATCTCCGACGGTTGGACGACTTTGTTATTTAAGTCAAATATGAATTAAATAAAATTTTACATGTATGCCAACCAAAACCACTGCTTCCAATTAAGCGTTTTGTTGTATTGGATGAGCTTAATGATTGTTCTGTTTCATTTGTTGGTTGCCGATCCTTTATCAGGTGATGTAAGCCAAAATATTACTGTTAAGGTGTTCCTCCGCCATGCTGCTCTTTTCTGTCCTGCATGTTTTCTAAACAGCAGCAAGGCATTACTTATGATTTATTTCCTTCAATCCTGCCTACTTATTCATGTTTCATCTTGATGTACATTATCTTTAACGAGAAAAAAATATATCATCTTTAATTGTGTATTGCACTTTTTACTGCTGGTGTGTGCATTTTCTGCCGATGATGGAGTGCTTCAACGCATGCTTCATATTGCAAATCATATGGTATAGATTTTTTTATGGAGGAAAAATTATGATTGATGGCCAGTATACTCAGAACTTTCAATGCCTTTTTCATATAGTTCCAAATTATTTCACGTCATAAACTAAGATTAACAGCTTATTTTTGCTGTTGCGTTTTATGTGATTTATTATTTTCTTATAAATGAACTTTTTGTACGATTTAAGAAATTGAAAGTTCGCGTTTTGGTTGTCGGAAACCATCTTTGAAAGGTGTATTCGGATGTGTAATAGACACAATTATACATTAATTTTCAATAATAGCTAATATAGGTTATATGGCCTACACAAATAGTAAGAGGCTAATAATGCCTATTATTTCCAATGTTGATTTCAATGACAAAGATTTAATACTGTTCACGAAAGATTGATTTTGTATCTGAAATTTGATAAAAATAATATTATCAGTAAATAGCCTTTAAAGACTAGGTAATAGCCATGCTCTAAATTCAGATAAAGTATATGTGGGAAGGATGGGGGAACGAAGGAGATGTACACGGACTGTATCGCGCAGGTGCGTCATTTTGGGGGGTTGATTTAAGTCTTGAATATATGTAAGTAGTTTTCAGCTGTACTAGAAATGTACGAAATCCATTAATTCCTTGAAGTATATCTTAAACTAGAAATTTCTTTCCTATTTCTATAGATGTTTTTATATATATATATATATGATAGTGTCTCAAGAAAAGACGCAGATAATTCTAGACACACACATGGATTTGAAGACTCAAATATCGACGGTGAGGTGTGAACACTATTACTTAATGGCTTAGCTAAAAAAAAATGCCTTTCCGAGACTAAGGTACAATTGGTAAAAAAAATGGCACATTTGTCCCTTTACCAAGCGTTAAATCATATAATAATGAATGACTTAGACAATACTGCACGCGTACTACAGTACTGACATCCACCAACAGCAGCCTAAATCCAGCTGAACTTCATTTGGATAATCATCAGTTTGTTCTATCCATTAGGACAATCAACACAATAGTCTTTCAGATATCCGATAAGCCAGATACTCTAATCATAATGTCAGCCGTGATAAAATCAACCCTAAACAAATAATGTTGTATGGAGATATATATTTATCTAGATTATAACCAGAATCCAATCGATGTGGACACAGGAGGTTGATGTATATTAGTTTGTGTAACCGGATGTGTAGAAATCAGTTATGTCGGTTAATGATGTAACACATATAGCGGACTATTGATGTGGTGCTAATAATATATAGCTGTTAATTTAGACTTATTAGCTCCTGGTAAGTGGAGTTAGTTAAGTATTTATCATCCATATATAATTCATTTTGTACATTTAGCCTTACGCTCGAAGCGGACGTTAACTTGTCATCTACTCTTCAACAAACCTTTAGTACAATGCATTAAACATAATGTCAGTCTACTTAGTAGTTTCTATACTGATGTAGAAATTAAATCAATACGGGAGTACTAGCGGCAAATCAAAAATTTAGGTCGGATGTAACAAGCAAAAAACAGATAAATAATTAATAAATAAAATCATAACAACAGATAACAAACACCGAAGCCTAATTGGTTTGGTGTCCTGGAAGGAAGAGCACCAACGTTGTTCCTGTGTTGCTGGATAATATTATAAGGTTTTTATAACATAACATTACCATCATCCCATTATCTGTCCAGTTTATCTGGCCTTTTGGAATTATTCTGCATTATGGATTACTGTCATATAAGACTTGTCCATGTCATTGTGTACATCAAGATTATGCATGTTTTATGTGCACGTAACACAGCATTACCATCATTCCCTTATCTTCCCAGCTTATCTGGCCTGATGCATGATGGATTTACTGTCATATATTACCCTTATTGGCAATTGTCTGCAACTCCGTTCCATTCCTTCATATCATATATACATTAACGTAGTCATTGTGTTTCTGAATAATACTATTAGGTTTGTATATGTAAGTAATATAGCATTACCATCATCCCTCTTATCTTCCTTATTTGCCATTTAAATATGTACCAAGCTGCTTACATTCTTAATTAAATCTTGTTTAAATTCACGCCGTGGAAGAATTAAAGGGAACATGATGCTTCCCAAACGTGTACATCAGGAGGTTTTAAATCTCATTTTCATTGCGTCAAACTAATCATATTAACATTTTTTCATATTCATTACTAAAGACTCCCTCAATGAAAAAACGCATATTTCATTAACGAGTGTTTCGTGTTTCCTTTTAGACGATAAACAATTTCTTTTCAAATTGAAATTTCTTTAACACAGTCCTTATATCTTGGATCATTGTGTCTATATCAACAGACAGAAAATGCCACTAGGAATGTGCAGATATCCAAAGAATTATTCGTCAGATGTAAGGAGTATTGAGATTAAAGCAATTAAAATGTAGCCGGAGAAATTGTACATCAGACTTTAAATCTGAATCAAAGCTTCCATCTTATAGTAGATTTTTAAGAAATAACAGGCTTGATTGTTCTGAGTGGCAAGCAATATATCCGGAGGGGAAATGGTGTTTAGTTTACTAATGGAATTGGTCGGTTGTGGGGGGTTACGACCTTGTAGCTACGGGGCTGAACAGTAAACGTACGATTGGTCCCAAAAGGAGTCTGGTAGATATAAATCGCCGTTTATTATTGACATTATTGACATTTTGGATGTACACAAAAATCAGCATGTCTGAATTATGGACAGACACTATCATGCAATAGCACTTATGACAAGTATCGTGCGTTATCCTCAAGTAAAGCGTTTAAAGTAAATACAAGTTCACCAAAAAGCACAATTTAAGAAATGAATCTAACATTCCGAAGGTTAGAACAAACAATCGTACTTTTGCTGTTAGTATTAAGTAGACCATTTAAAGTAAATACAAATACACCAAAAAGCGACATTTTAGAAATGAATCTAACATTCCGAAGGTTAAAACATAACAAATATCGAGCAGTTATAATCAACAATGTAGATGGCCTGTTGATGGAACATGACATGATTAAATCGTGTACATAGTATAGTATTACACAAACCTGGTCAAACAAATTTCAAAGACGGAGAAGAAATTGATTTGTAGATGTTCAATTCAATAGAACAATTTCCAAGGATCTGTATAAAATCTTAATTCAATGTTTACTGAAATGGTAATGCAAGGGTTTGATTTGGCATCGAATTCATGGACCGTAAACTTGTATTTGTAACTGGTGGCGATCGAGTTGATTTTATTTCAAAAAGGTTAACAGAAAGCCATTTAGATATGTCAAAGTTATCTCATCAACTGCTTTACCAAGGACAACGTTTGCGGCTCCAAAACAATCCAGAGCGTTGGGATTTCGCCAGGCCATTGGTATAATGTGCATACATGCTAATAAAATAATCGATCCTCATTTTGATTCGTGATATAGTTTTTGTATGTTTATTCTTGCCCGATTCTGTTTACAAGATCTGGAAAACTGTTATGTAAATGATTCGATTCATGAACATGAAATATAAACTACTTTCATGTTAACACGGGGAATTTGTTTATAACCTGTTTCGCTTCACTATTTTTTATGGGTAATGGTGTTAAATATCTCGCATCTGGAATGTAACTGGAAACATAACCACATCATAGACAATTTTTTGTCCACAGTTACATATAAATAAGATTAGAAAACTGCACATTGCATGTAATTATACGATATATAGTGATAATGTGTTACAACAGTTTGAACATAACCAGGTCAGATTCAACAGAAACACGCTAACAGTTCACCATAGTACAGATAACCATAAAAGTAAATAAAGACATCACAATCTGGTATTTTACCAAAAAATTTTCAGTGTGGACCTAAAACTATAGATTAAGGATCACATCCAATTACGTCCACTTTGACATGCGGTTGGTACGTAAATCGTACTGCATTTTCACACCTTGTTTTAAAAAATCAATAAAGATGGTTGTATGCTGATAATATTATATCATGGATCAATACAAAAAATTTTGAAAATCTGTATATGATATAAACCAGATATTAGAAATGCACATATCAACAATACCCTAAAATAACACTGTTAATGAAAAGAGATTTACTAACCAACCAAAAAGATATTGATGAAAATCGTGCCATTTTTTAATTTTTTAGCATAAAACTATAACTTTTACGATAAAAAAAATTAATTCTTTAAAGGCTCAAATTTTTCTTACAAATAAAAACGTGACAGAACTTCTATTATAAAATTGAAATTCATACAGTTTTTCTTTGAATATGTTGACGTTCGGTGTCTGAAAACTGAAACCTTTTGAGATGAGTTCTGTCAAAATTCATTTCATAAGAAATGAGGACTTCCCATATTCTTAGGTATACTTTACTTCCATACTGACATGAACATGTGTCAAGATAAAAATCGAACACTTCAGTCCAAACCATCAAGGGAGTCTTTTTACTTACATGCCATTCAAATTACGAGCTCATTTGCTATTTTTTCCCCATGAACTGCCCTTTTTACGTTAGTATGTTGTTTTTTAGAAGTTCATTACTCGTGGTGCTTATTGCTTACGTTAGTATGTTGGTTTTTTTTTTACAGTAGTTTCCCATTGTAGGGTTAAAACATGCCAATCAAATTACTTGCTCATATTTTTCCTTTATTCTTCCGCTTACTGGTATCGTCGGAATTGTTTGTTTTACTGAATTTTCTTATTGTTGAGTTATTACCTTTAAACACGCTAGAATACGTGATGTTGTGAGGTCGTTTGCTCTGAGGTAATCACTGATTTTTTCAAAATAAAAAAAATCCTGACGTTGATGAATTTGATTTTTTTTTTCGATGATTACTCACGTTGAAAGAAAGATTTATGACGTATGGAACAATATACGATTTAAAGGAAGTTATAAACACTAATCAAGGTGTACAATAAAATACACTTGTCTGTTAACAGCACCGGATTGATGGTATAAGACACGAAGTTTTTAGATGAATATTTCTTTACTACGCATTCCGTTTTTTTTTTATTTATTCAACTTTGTTTACGTGAACGAATTATTGTCACAAAAATATTTTTTTATCATCTGTCGCTTCACATTGATAATAAGGATAATCACTTACCATTCTGACAGAGGATTTACTCATTGAAAGAATACACAGATGCACCTACATAAACAAAGGTACCTACATAAACAAAGGCAAGATAAATATTCGAAAAATCTGCCTTACAGAAGACAGTTTTATAGCCATATTTGTTGCTTGTGCAGGAAATAGTTGGCAATATTGTGTTACCGATATCAGCAGCACTAGCACCATTTAGTAATCTTGCATGCTTCTGATAAGATATTCCCACTTACCTCCCACTTACTATTGGGATGTTTATCTAATTTATTACATCTGCCGCCTCGTCGCCTTCCTTAAAAGGTGTTTTAAATGGTCTGTGATAAACTATGATACCAATACTGCTGTCAAAAGTCCTATAACCAAACAACATCTCCGACTTTACAATGAAGATGAGATAGGTGATATATGACATATTTTGTGGCAGCCATTAACTTAACAACATGTATGTATATCATATCGCATCGAATAAAACATTTTTTACCCACATTAAATCAGTCTAATAAAATATCCATGAGAACGTGTTTGAATTCTTAATGAAATTACCAATACAACAGGAAAGTTTGATACTATAGAGTTCTGCAAGTTATTCACTATATTGTTCATTTCAGAGTTGCCATTTTTCATTCATCTGTTGAGGTTTACATCATATTGAACATATATAACCCACACAGAAATAAAAATAAACAATCGAATGTTATAAAGTCAAAACCAATTTTCAGAATTTAAAATGATGTTCTCTGGAGATGATTTAAAATAACTTCACGTGAATTAATTTAATGTGGTTAAAGGCCTATTGGGTACCAAAAGAAACATCGAATTTGAATGTCAACCTGAAAGTCAGTTAGATGAAATTTCAAAAATAGATTCTATTTCTAAAATAATCTGTTTCTTAAAACTGATCAGTGATTCTGAAAAGGACATAAGGTTAAAATATTTGTAGTTTGAAAGATACCAGCAAATAACTCTGTTTTCAAGAAAATTGGTCGAATAAACTTAAGCACGAAAATTGCACATCAATCAAATTTGCATCACCACCATCCAGTAACATGCATTTTTGTACGCACTGCAGTAAAGAAAAACAAAGAAAGTTGATGTTTTTTTTTTCATTCAAATTCATACATTAAATTGACAAAACCTGGAATGTTGCATTCCCATTTTCTCGTATTGCTTAACTTGTGAAGACGGTCAAAGCTTGTGAATGTTGGGAGAGCTTAGCTTCGTTAGTACGAATTTTAACGTGGGATGTTAAACGTCTGTCGGCTGTGCCTAGACCATTCAATAACATGAGAATATATTATAAGGGAAGTAACCGCATTAATACTTGACGGTATGAATGACACACGAATTTAATCGACAACAAGATTTCTAATATTTTATTCAGGTAAATTCTACAACCCCTTTGTACTTTTACCTTACAAAGTAGCTTTTAATGGTGCAAAATCTGGTCGGTAAGTGAAAGTGAAATAGCTTGCTATTCCGAATCATATTGTGCTCAGAGATCCATACTGTAGTTTTGCAAGTTTATGGACGTATTTACTGCACTAAATAACAACATGTAGCAATGGAATGCGTATAGTACAAAAGTGCAAATGGTTGCCCCAACTGCACATGATTATGACGTTAATGGAGAGCTTCAAGATAATTCAAATATGATTTCACCTATATGATACAGATCTACACAGATAAGATAATAATTAAAAGGTCATCTTTCAAAACAAACAGAATGCAGATAATGCATGTAATTTTATAGGTCACGGGAATGTCATTTACCTTTCACAATAGTCATGTCAAATATCATAATCCGTGTGACGGTACAATGCAGTCGCTGAGACAAAAAAAGACATGACCAATAGAGTGACGAATCATTGGGTGAAGGGGTTGAGTAGGATCCACAGAACTGTCAATTAGGACTTGTTAAATAATAACTTTTTGGAGGCTAAAACCGGACCAGCCCTGTTGTATGTGCCCGCCGTAGAAACGCTACTGGGCCAATATGGGCGTCTCTCGTTAAAAAAAAAACATTTGATCATACTTGTTATATAATACAACATTTAGTACAAGCAAGATCGATCGCAAACTGTTGCAAATGAGAATGAATAATATAAACCCCCTTTTTTTTATTCATTGAGCACAAACCACTGATATTCAATCTTTACGTAGGTATTCGGACTACCTTACTAAATTCCAGTGTTGTTTAACTTTTGTCGAGGCTTACCAAAACTTCAAAAATGGCAAGCAGGGTGGTTCTTTTATCTATGGACGGAAGTAAGCATTCCTCATTTGCATTTGATTGTAAGTATGTTTTATTAATCTTTTACCTATGAATTTGTGAGTTAAATGAAATATTGCATACTATTAAATATGTCATGAAAGTTGACTGAAGTCTCGACAGTCGAGTTGTGTACATCTAAATATATGTTGGCTACCGTAAATTTAGCTGTCTGCTTTAAATTGTGCACTGAACGATATTGTACGTTTATAGTCCGCTACTATCATTTTCTGAACCATATATTTCCATTCTGAAAAAAAAACATGGCTGTAACTAAAAGATGCTGGTCGGAAAGGGCTAACATGATAATATTTGCTAGTAGTTTGGGTGGATTTCTTCTGAAGTGTTTAGAAAGTTTTGTTGTTCCGATATCTCACTATATGACGTTGACTGCCTATAAACCCCATCAGCATGAGAATATCAGCATTATGCCATTATTTCTTTATGTCAATCAACAGGGTACCTAAAGCATATACGAAGAGATGGCGATAAGGTTTTGATCGGATATTGTCCCCAGTTTGATTCCTTGTCCAGATCTTCTTCTGGTAAGATTTTATATGATTTGCATAGCCCTCTCGATTTCGTAGTTTTTTTGACGCTAAATAGCCACCAAATAGCCATTTGAATCGGGGCCATAAGGGATCATTAGTAGTGGCAACCACTACTTATAATGTTGACTACCTCTGTTGGATGCTACACATCAGTAAATATTTCCTTACGACAGATTTACAACGTGGGTAAATATTGTGTCTAGTCCCCTATTGTTATTGAGGTCTTTTGGTTCTTTGGTTTGAGTAATTGCCCTTGACTTACCAATTCCCTGCTGGAAAAAAGATTGTCAAGTTTTCTGTTTGATATTTGTATAGGATTGATGACTGGCAATCCACAATATATGTCCGATATGATAACTGAAGAAGAACTTGGAGTACAAAAATTGATCAAGGCATTCGAAGATCTCCTGAAAGAAAAGTCGGTGAGTGTAAATTTAATATTAGGTACCATTGTATTTACCAGCAAGTGCAAAATCACGTATTATGATCATCACCAGATAATGTGAATTGTATAGTTACTTCCCTTGGTACCTTTCAACGTTGGGACTAGTGAACCGGATTCACGAAAGCATCAATAAAGTTGTTTCATTACTTCAGAATAATAAATTGTTCTGTATCCGCATCAGCAGTAAAACGAAAGCAGCTGAAAATTAAGATGTAATAAAGAATTCAACATTTCAGCTGGACGGAAAGGTACTTCGACTATCCGGATCCGATCCTGGACACGCTATAGTTAAAGCTGCAGAAGAGAATGGTGCAACCATGATAATAACCGGATGTCGTGGATTAGGGAAGGTTCGAAGAACTCTTATGGGAAGTGTTAGCACTTATGTTACTCACCATTCGCATGTTCCCGTATTGATATGCCGACATGAATAACTGTCATATTTGGTAACCTGATCAAGATAGCTAATCAGAGACATTTGTGCGCGTCCTATTCAAAACATAAACACATGTATCCCATTTTTTTGGGGTAGAATAAATAGCATAACCTAAAAAGGGAGCCTTGATGTGCTCAAATATCTGTGCTCAACTTTAGTAGTTTATATATAATGGGTTTTTTAAAACAGATTTCTGTGTAAACAATGTTATTCGGAAATACATCAAATAAAGTATTTTATGAAAAAGATTGGGTAACTGGTTTCGCCTTTAATACCCCTCTCTTTGAACACGTTGTTTAAATGATGACATTTCTATATATCGGGTGTTTCCCCGAAAACCGGCCCAAAGTTCGATGGGTCGTATCTAAGCTGTTGATAAACTGATCTCTTTCAAAATTCTCATAGATATATTTTCAGATGTCGTTGTCCTACGGAAGTCATCGAAAAATAAATGTACAAGTACTGCCTCCAACAAAAAAGGGCCCTTCATCTTCTTCGACCACCAATCACAACCGTTGCTTTCCATTCCATCACAGTATATCTGTTTACCAACAGATACTTTTCTTCGAACTTTGGGAAACCCGATATATAATAAAGTTTGCTAAATCGTGCATTGTTAATATTATAACGTATATTTACAATCATCCTGTTACAAGACGAGAGGAGGTCCATAGAATCTAAGATATGGTTAATAAAAGCAAGTAATTTATAACACGGAAGCACATCAAGAGGCACCGAATATGAAAACATTTGGATCGACGTGGTATGAAGTTATGTCTGATCCTGTAGAATGTAATCTTATGGTTTGCCATCCTTATTGCTTCATTTCAAAGAATTCTCTCTTTTGTCATAGGTTTTTGTTTCATTTCAAAGACTCTCTCTTTCTTCATAGGTTTCTGCAATCTAATTAGTTTCTCTTAACAATGACGAATTATTGGATATTTCTTTTCTGTGGGTTTTTATATCCCACAAATCGTATTTTTTCCCCTACAAAATGGTCCTACATTACGCGTTTTGATTGGTTAAACAATTAACGTCATTAGAATGCAAGAAAACATGTTAGATTACAATGGAGATATCAGGAAAAAAATTGTTTTCTAATTTTGGGTTAGAGTGATAAAGGATTGGCTTATGTCATGTTGGATATTCTGTGACCATCACCATGGGCCTCATCGTCTATATTGGAATTTTTACCGGATGTTGAGTCTCGAGATAATTTTATCAAGTATGAAACTAAGTAATTAGATTTAACAAAGCATATAGATTTAACAAGGCATAATTTGTTTCCATTAATGGACAGGACATGCTTTCTCAAGTACCTTTCAAGAGCTTTGTTTTCCGGTTTCTTTTGTTGTCATTTTCTTTCCAGGAGAACGAAAAAATTAAATAATTCATAAGATCATTCAAAGTTTAATTATTTTTATATCGTCAATATAAATAAGCTTTTTGTCGCAGACCCATTAATATTTAACCACTATTCGATATTAAAGGGGAAAGAAATTAACCTTAATTGTCTCTTATATACGTAGATTATTTCGTGGATAATGTGTTAGACCTTTATCAATTATTACAAAATAATTTTGTATAATGAGTCTCAGACGAGAATATGACAGCCGCAAGGAAGTTTCTTATCAAAGTCTGTTCTTTCAAAAACATTTTTAATTCCTTTTAATTCTCCCTCGAAAATCACTTGACAATATTTAAAACGTGGCTTGCATCGCACTGAAGTGTTGAAATATGGAATCTTATACGCATTATTAAATAATTTAACTTTAAAATTGTTCTGAGGCTAAGAAAAGTCAGATAATACGTTGTACTTGATTATGGAAAACAAGATTTAGAAAAATCACTTATAAGTGCCGTTGGTTTGAATCCTCAAATAAGTTAAATTCTTATGACACGGCTAGTGCTTCCAAACTTAGGCCGGGTGTCAACATACAACTCTTTTCACCCTTACTTTGATGGACCAATGTTTACAACGATTCACAGATTCTGAAAAGTGAAGATTGTATGGGCGTTGTTCTTAAGATTGATGGGAAAATATTGCTGAATAGCTTTAGAACTGATGATATGTTTGGTAAAAAAAAAATGTCAAAAATTTAATCGTATAAACATTTAACTTGTAACATAAAAATCAATTTGTTATCGTATAAACATTTAAGTTACTTACAATGATGAGATTATATAAAGTTAAGATGTGTGGGCGTATTTAAGATTTTGGAGTTTGTAGCGTTGTGTTTAAGATTGATGCAAAAAATATTGCTGAAAAGTTTAGAACTTTAGAATTTTCTGAAATTTGTAATCGTATAAGCATTTAACCTGTAACATAAAATTAATTTACGTTATAACTACAAATAAAATTTAACTAACACCTTATACCCTTCAAAACAACATGGCCCTCATCAGCTGTATTATATCGTAAGTGTGTCGTTTTTATTGATGTTTATTAACTAATATTAATGTGATTTTTATTAACATTGCACAAGTCAATCCATTAAAAACAAAGGCAACCCCATTCAATGATATGTATATTATGTTTAGGGTTTTGCTTGAACATGTTCAACACATTTTCTTGATAAAATTAATAGCCTTTTCATTGACTCCATTGTTGAGATGGATTGAAGTGTATCCACTCCATTACCTGTTACAAGAGTGCGTAGATATCATCAGCTGAGATGGGTATCTCTCTCAACAGTACATCAGAGATGTGAAAATCCATACGGTAACTTTCAGAAAATGAAATTAACGTTTATTTAATAAACACTCAACTGTCAATCTTTAGTCTATTTTAGATCATGAATGCGTCGGTGGCTGACGTTCTTAATTGACTTCGCAATATACATCTTGGTATGAGGTGTGCCAATATATGCGATCGAATCGTCATCAGACGCAACTATTGAGGAATCCAGCGTATTTGGTATTATGGTTGGATTAAGACGCGCACTGATGACCGTTTCAGACTGAGTATGTCAACTCAATATCCCTGAAGGAGAGTCTCGAACTGATAATAATATTTTGAAGTTATGATCTGTGTTAACCACGCGTAGTTTTCTAAGTAAAACGTTCACAAAGGTTGTTGCCTTGTCAATGAACTGAATACTTGTAGATGTTTTTCTGTGTCAATCTGTATAAATTCTGAAAAATCTAGTATTGATTTAATAGTTAAAAACACAGATAAGTGAGCTTGGGAATTTTGTTCAAGGCAACAATTTAACTGGAGAGGCGTTCAGGTTTGAATTTAGGAATACATGTACTGGGCTATTTTCAACTGAATGTCACTCACAGTCATGACCTTATACATATTTATACTGACACAAATTGAACATTCCTTTTCCTTCATCTCAAAAACTAAGACTTGCCTCATGAATGTATCTTACGAAGACTTAAGTGGTTTGGCGTATATCGGCAGATCTTCAATAGGAAAGGTGGTTGTTACTGGTTGAATTCTTTCAGTTCCTTGAGAAGTAAATGGCTATGCATTTAAATGTGACCACATTATTATTGATTATATCTTCCCTTGGGCCAAAGACCAGCTGGTAGAAAGGATCTTCATGAACCTGAATTGTTTTCCTTGTAACAAAAAGTTGTATATTTTCAGTCTATGTGGCATTTTTTCATCATTGTAGTTTATTGTTCAATAAACCGAGGCCCCGTGTGCTACAGGCTGTGCAGGTTAAAGATCCCAAAGACAGTTGGAAATCTAAAAAATGCAGGCTATTGCCGTTGTCCTGGCAAAAATTTCCATCATAGCACCCTGCATGGTGTTGTACGTTCACCCAAAAGGTTCAGAAAAAGAGGACGTACAACTCCATTTCATTTTCATTTATGACATAAGCAATGTTTTTTTAAAACATCGTACGTTTCGTAAAATAAATATGCTGTTCATTCTCACTTTATATTTTTGTCATACAACTTTACATTGTTTGCACGGTTTTGTAAGAAAGAAATTCATGATATATAGAATCGTAAATGTTTTCATATGTTAGTACGTATGATTTATTAGAGATTGTTCTTGTTTTCCGGGTATATTAATCATTTTTGTTTATATAACCGATATTTCTGGCAGATAGTGTGATTTACTGACAATTAGCTAAGCTAAAATGCAGCAGATTTTTGGATGAGAAGAAAATATGTATAAAAGAGATATTCATATTTTTACGAAATATATAGTATGTAATACCATACAGTAACAGTAACCGAGATTGATCTGCATGATATCTACAGATTATAGGTCCCATGTGGACAATGCTCCAAACCAGAATTGGCATAGTCAGCAATGATAAATGGAAATATGCGCCATTTTCAAAACATCAAGAATTGGAATAAGTTTCTCCAATTTGTATTCAAATTTGTTCATAATATGAAGCCAGTTAAAATTGGTTTAAGAACTTAATTTTCTTGTGTCTTTTTTAAAAATGGCCAAATTTTCGACAAAAAAAACCCCACAAAAAACATCCATCCTAAGGTTTCAAACACTGAGGCTACACATCAATACCTACAATGATGTGTGGAATCAATTGGATCCAGGATACATGGTTGCAGCAGAACTGGCAATAGAATTGTGTAGCAATTGTTAATCGTTAATAGGCATTGTACAATTATTATTGGTGTTCATAGAATATATAATATACAGTCTTGCTTTGAATAGTGTTCAAACCATGGATGTTCTTTCGCGATCTAGTGTTCATTGTATTTTATTTCTTGCACAAATTTTACATAAAAATACAGTGCTATGGGCGTTTTTCTCTAGACTTAGTGGCTATGTTCATCAAATTTTATATCATACAAAAAGTTTCTCTCCTTTATGAAATTAGAATACAGAAATTCTCGAAAAAAAATTTACAGTTAGGGTGCATAATGACAGCATATTTATTACATTATTAGACCATGATGAGATATAGATGAGGTATATTATTATTAATTATTGACATATTAGGGCTTTATTATTGTAATTACTTAATATGCTATTCCCTCTGGTCATTTTTGTATTTCATTAGA